TTATATATTTAAATGTAAGAGTTTATGTCAGAACTCATTATTACGGTATTTAAAAACCTGATACTATTATCCTAGGGTTGGGATTACTGGTGAACATACACACATTCAAACATACATACACACACACATGCTTGCATGCATGCATATACACATATGCCCATGCATGCACACAAGTGCATACACATGCATTCACTAAACACTAAACACTCATGCATTCATGTAAGAGCACACATGCATGCACACACTCATGCACACATGCATGTACACACTTAGACATGCTCACATGCACACACACATGAACCCTGAGCACAACCTCCATGCAGTACATTGGCCACAGTAAAGAGGGCATCTGGGCTGAGGGTACTATTGGTCTTGGTAGAAGACTTATCTTGGACAAACAAATTGGCCCATAGTAGCTAACAAGGTGTTGGGGGTTTCTTCTAAGACAGTTTGGTAAGGCACTGGCCTTGAAGACAGGATTCTTATCCCCAGTCACCTCTTCCACTCCACCCACCATAGTATCCATATACTGGCAGCCACTGGTAATGTGTTTCTTTATGGAATTTGACAAACTGAATAAGCCCCTAATGGGAGAGACACTACAACGTGCTTTTAAACTTAGTATCAGCAGCTGCTACTTCAGTTTGACTGGATCTCTTTTCATGGAGGTAAAGGTAATGGAGCTCTGGTAGCATAGTGCCTAAGGCACTTGACTGCTAACCAGAAGGCTGGCGGTTCAAACCCACCAGCCACTCCTCGGAAGGAAGGTTGGGCAATCCTACTTCTGTAGTGATACTGCCTCAGAAACCCAAGGAGGGGTCGCTATGAGTCGGGGCCGACTCGACGGCAAAAACAACAACAACAACAAAGGTAATGGAGAGTGGTTCTACTCTGAATGGGGAATAGGAACAACTGGAGACATACCAGGTTGGCAAGGAAATGAGCCTAGAAGGCAATCCCAAATGGCTTGAACATGACCAGGAAGGCACTAGTGTAGTGATGGATCGAGGAGCTCACCTGGGGTTGGAGTGGCATAGAATAACACCCTAGACAAGAAACTGTTGGGCAGCATATAAAGAAATATAAGATAAAAAAGCAGTTCTTTTGCCCAACAAAGCACAGACTACTGGGGACAGAAAGTGGAAAAACATTTGTTCAGGTCCTGAACTCAAGAGTATTTTGCCTATTTTTATTACAACCAATTTTCAAATGAGGAAACTGTAGTTTGGGTTGAGGTTACACAGTGGTAGAATTAGGGAGAAGTTAAGGCTAATCTGAAAACTGGAAGATAAAATCTTGAAAATGTACATATTCAGTGCCTTTAGAAATTACAAATGATCTGCAAATAAAAGCTTCATCTTAAAGTGTCCAATTGGGATTGGTCCAACCATGTTTTCTTCATACTCTCTTTATTGCCTTCCCTTCAAAATATAGGACTATACATTTGATTTTCTTGATCTTGTTTGGTCTTACAATACTATTTGGACATGGGCAAGACAGATATTTTATCCCCATTTTACAGATGCGGATGCTGAAATCCTGAGAGTTTAATTGACTTATACCCAGGTAGCCAGTGGTAATCAAGCAGTTAATATGAGTGTTAAGAAGAACATTAAAAGAAAGAGGATACACAGTTCAGGACCAAAAGCAGGAGAGGACAAGCGTCTCAGAGAAAGGGTGCTCTATGATGGCTCAGATGTGAACATATGAATGTGCGAAGAGGCTATAACTTAAAGAGGAACTTGCCAGAAAGTGGGAGCTAAGGGGAGATAGGCATGGAGAGGCCCACTGGTGTAGAGTTCCTTCATCTGGAAGTCAGACAGGCTCATAAGACAAAGGGGAACGGCTCCCAAGCCAATTTTACTAGCAAAAGAAAAAGAAATATGGCTGAGACATTTAGATGAGGCTCAGAATTTGAGAGGGAGAGTGAAGTAAAATGAAGAGTCTATGGTGGGAGTCAGATAGAGTAGAAGTCAATGAAGTTCTGGCCCAAGGGATGGAGTGTAAATACTAACATTGGACTTAACTAGCCAATCCTGATCATTACTCTCAAAACCAAGGCATAAGAAAGATAAGAAACTAGTGCTGTCTCCTGACCAGTGCTTGTGAGCACCCAGGCACTGAAGTGGAACTCATCAATGAAGTTGTTGCCTTTTTCTGAGTATAAGCCATGGGCCCAAGGCTGGGCTTTGAATGTAACTTCCTTGTCCTCTCTCACTTTTTTCCAGGTCATTGAGTGCATTACCCAAGGACGTGTTTTGGAAAGGCCTCGAGTTTGCCCCAAGGAGGTCTATGATGTCATGCTGGGGTGCTGGCAGAGGGAACCACAGCAGCGACTTAACATCAAGGAGATTTACAAGATCCTCCATGCTTTGGGGAAGGCCACCCCGATCTACCTGGACATCCTTGGCTAGTGGTGGCCAGTGGTCAAAAATTCCTCCTCTATTGCCTCTTCTCTTCTTGCCTCATGTCTCCCTTTGCCACCTCACAACTCCTTTCCTCCATCCTTGACTAAAGCAAACATCTTCATATAAACTCAAGTGCCTGCTACA